CTCAAACTCCGGGAATTATCCCTTGTTTTGTGAGCGAAGCGGCATATTGCGTCTTACCGCGAAAATATTTTTCAGTGTAAAGTGAATCCTCCTCGATCGCTGGAGTTGCGTTCCAGAATGCCTCCTGAAGGGTGGAGATCCGCAATTTATAAAGTTATACTTTAAGCCCTTATAGCTCTTTCCATATGGCCACATAAAATAAACTTTTCATATTCTGTGAAAATTGGCGAAGATTAATTGAAATTGTGTATGTAAACATTTTTATATACTGAGCATAAATATGCATATCGTATACCACCCAGGAGGTTTACTAAGTACGTGATACAGGCGTCCGCCAAAAGCGTTCCACATACGAAATCAAATGGGTCGAACTGAGGAAGCGCGTACTGAAGACAAAAGGTCCACAGAAATTCGCAAACCAGCGAAGGATCCGCAATTTATCTACTTAGACATTTTTCATATCGAATTCGGGATAAAGTGAGGTCGCCAAAATCGAAGTGTGATATACCGAGAGATCAGCGCAAACCAATTAAAAAGCAAGTCACCATCCCTTCCGCAGGCAATGGCGGCCTTAATTGATTTCCGTATCCGTTATAGTAAAATATGAACTAGAGGATATGTCGGTCTTGGTAAAAGTAACAATAATCATTTTCAAAACAGACCAAGGCTTAAAGACATTCTCACAGACAATCTGAACGCAAAGACCGCCAGGCAGAAGTGGCAACAACTGGCATACCTGTCCGTCTTCCTGTAGGATGACGCAAGAACTACGTCCGTTCCTAATTCCAGACTTTTTTAAGAGGAAAATTCTCCCCACAAATCATTTTATGTTTAGAATAAGCCAGAAATAGTTATTCTAGGGTTGCCTGCCTTTACCGGAATACTACTACTATAACATAAAAGATATGTTACTCAAACTTAATTAGTAACACTACAGTTAGTAGCCTTGCAAAAACACACATTCGGTTGGACTGAAATCGCAAGGCATCAACCAGGATGGGTACATCCTAAAAACAGATCGGTGTGCAATCAACTACTGTGTTTACATATTTCCAGCTAAAAAGGCTTTGTCGTAAAGAGTAGGCAGTCACGTAACAAAACTCTAGACGACATAAGCAGTACAACAATGCAGACTTTTTCACTGCTAGAATTGCAGTGACGATGCGTAAAATGCCAAGACAACCAAAAACGATGTAATGTAAATACAAGAGCCGCAAGGGTCACCGTGAACAGTCAAAAAACAACCAGACTGGCGTACCGAAGGGTGAAGAGTTCTCCAGTTTTGCGAAAAACGGCTGATTGAGAGAAAAATGTGCCGAGGCCGGTTTTCATTTTCTTGATGCATTCAGAAGAGAAACATAAGACACAAGACAACACAGGCAGATGCTAGTTGCTATGTATAAAAATTAGTCGGAAAAAAAGCGAACCAAAAAGATTTAGAGAGGTTTTCCCAGGGCAACTATAATTGACAGAACAAAGTCAAACACAAATTCAATGCGTTTGGAGAGAGAAAAGTCGACTATTTTCCTCTGCAGAGTCAAGTATCATTGCCGAATGATGCCAACTCTTCTCCGCTTTGCAACCCTGACGGTGGACTTCGAGGTTGTTGTAGATGATCACCGCGAGTTCTTACGTTGTCGCCAACTTGTCGGTGGGCTCTGCAGTCCTCTTGTCTCACCTCCATGATGCCATATGATTTTTTCCCACGACAAGGAGCGTTCCGAACCCTAGATATCACGATTCCATCTCATTGCATCATATCATACTATATCAATCTAACCACCCTATTTAAGCAGTTTTTTCTCCGATATTTTTTTTGGAAATCGGTGGCTCGCTGAACTCTGCTACCGATTTAAATTTTAGGAGTTTTTTTTCACTGCCCCTTTCTCAGTTCACCATATTTACCTACTACTGTTGACCATCATTTCAAAAAAGGGTCCGTTGTAAATCGGATCTGACTTAATATGTGTACCATACTACTAATTCCTGTCGTTATACAGTTGCTGACGCGCAACCGTGATCACCACCTTTGCATCTATTTTTATCACAGCACTACGTTTGTAATAGAAAGGGCCCATTGGGCCTTAAATATACAATTTATTTATTTATTTACAAT